TGGGCAATCTACTTCCGTAGTGATACTGCCTCGGAAACCCAAGGAGGGGTCGCTATGAGTCGGGGCCGACTGGAGGGCACATAACAACAACAACAGTGGGCAGTGGTTAAAGTCTCCGGGCTAACGGAAAGAAAAGTCGGCTGTTCCAACCACCAGATGCTCCTTGGAGGAAAAATGTGGCAGCCTGCTTCCATAAAAATTTACAGCCTTGGAAAACCTAGGGGCCATGCTAGTCGGTCCTATTATAGGTTGCTGAGTCCGAATGGATTCCAAGGCAAAGAGTTTGAAGTGAGAAAGAGGAACATCTCCGTGAATTAATCCTAGCAGCCCTGGATTAAAGGGCGTAACTGTGGCTGGATGCGCGCGTAAGGCAAAAGCGTGGTCCAGACGCACCGCAGTAGAGGCGGGGCCAGAGTTGGGGGCTCGTGGGGGGTGGGGCCAGAGCTAGACTGGGCGGGGAAGGGATGGGCGTGGCTCCAGGGCAATAGCCGGACTGAGTTAGAGTCTCGAAAGGGAGGGAGCTGGCCCCATGGAGAGGCAGCTTTGGAGGCTGCGGTGAGGGAGGTGGGCAGGAAGGCGAGATGGGCGGTGAAGAGGCCGGGCCCTGCGGAGGAGGCGGGCTAAGCCTTGCCGGGGCCGAACTGGGGCCGGAAGGGGGTGGCCGCCCGCCCGGCCCCGCCCCGCCCCGGGGCCGCCTTCCCGCGGGTTCCGTTGGCTGTGGCGGCGGTGGCCGCGGGGCGGGCGTAAGATGGCGACAGCGGCGGCGGGAGCCCTAGGCCTGTTGTGGGGCTGGCTGTGGAACGAGCGCTTCTGGTTGCCCCAGAACGTGAGCTGGGCCGACCTCGAGGGGCCGAGCGACGGCTACGGCTACCCACGGGCCCGGCATATCCTCTCGGTATTCCCGCTGGCGGCGGGCATATTCTCCGTGAGGCTACTCTTCGAGCGGTGAGAGCCCGGGAGGGAGCGGCGCTGAGGGCCGGGGGCGACCCGGGCACGCGGGCACTGGAGCCGCCCTAGGGGAGAAGCTGAGGACCGGAAGGAGAACTGGGGGGGAAAGCCCGGAAGGAGGGGGCTGGAGGCGTCTGGACCGCCCAAGGGGATTGCAGTGAGGGGTACAGCAGTGGTTGTGGAACCTGGGTAAAAAAGACCGGGGAGTAGGGGTGTGGGTCCATTCAGTTTTACATCCTGGAGATCTGATAGGGGACCTTATAGGCCTTCCTCCAACCAGCCTCCAAGGATTCTACAAACAGATTGAGTGTGAGCTGGGACAGAGATCCCGAATCGAGGAGCAGGAAAGGGACAGGAGAAGCTGAGGAGGTCAGCGCGAGAGCCATACAGTCCAAGTAAAAGTGGGTTCGTAGGAATCTAGGCTTTGTGAGAACACTTCAGTTTCTGAGAGTGGAAGGGAACAGGTTTAGTTAGGCCCCAAGCCTTGCTTTGTCAGGTCATGTAAGTTTGTTTAGGATATATATGTTTGCGAGCGTTCAAAAAAATTCCTCCAGAGTTCGAATGAGTTGAAATCTGGTAGGTGTGAGTGTGGTGGAGCCTGAGGCTTCCAAAGCATGGAAAGATGTCAGCTGCAGAACAGGCCTTGGAGGCCTGAGGTGAAAGAACTGGTGATTTTGAAGAGATGAAGAGCCATAGTGCTTATTAGAGGATAACTGTATTGAGCAAACTTCAAAATGAGTTTAGTAGAATTACAGCATACTTTGCCCAACCACGTGTTCTTGGTAACAGTGATTGCACCTTTTTTTGAGTGAATGAGTCCTATCTGCTGTCTAAGATAAAGATCTTTACTGAGGACTTGATGTGGTGGTTTTATAATGTGGACTGGTAGCTGTGAGCGATTTTGATCAAGTCTGCTCAAAACTCCAGGAAGGAGACTTTTTTCTGCAGAGGTAATGAGAATTTCATGTTGGTAGTTTTTATCCATTTTGCCTTTATCCAGAGCAAAAATGATTGTCATGCAGAAACACCCTTTCTAAGATGGAAATATGTTGCAGATAAAATAATCTGTTCATATCTGAAAAGTTAGTGTTACGTTTTGGATTGCTGCTTTGATTTGCCTCTCATTTCTAAAATGAAAAAATCTTTCAAAAAATGTTTATGTAGCTCATTCATCTATTTACTGTTTGTGTATTGTCATCAAAGTACTCTACCAACCTCCAAAAAACCAAACTCACTGCTGTGGAGTGGATTTCAACCCATAGTGACCCTTCCTTGGATTTCTGAGGCAGTATCACTAGGTAGTGCCTAAGGCACTTGACTGCTAACCACCAAGAGCTCCTCTATTCAAGTGCAAAAATAAAGATGCCTTTAGCTGAAGCACTGAAACCTACAAATCTAAAAGTATCTGTAGGTCCTTAACCTTTAGGAACTCTGGTGGCCTAGTGCCTAAGGCATTATTAGACTGCTGGCCAGAAGGAAGGTTGGGCAATCTACTTCCGTAGTGATACTACCTTGGAAACCCAAAGAGGGGTCACTATGAATTGGATCCAACTGCATGGCAGTGTTTGTTTGTTTGTTTTTGGGTCGGTCCTTAGGAACTTAGTGTTGCAGTCATTTAAGTATAGTTAGTGTATTAAATATTCTTGGAGTGGAGGTGCAAACCACTTACCTCTTTTAGGAGTAACCTAGATCCACACACTCTCTACCTTAGCACCTGTGTATGAGAACTGGAAAAAGAAAGGCAATGTAATGACTAAGAATTGACGTCAGTAAAAAAATTCATTGTCCTAGGAAGAGATTCTTTGCTTTTCATATAAATGTATACAAATATGGAAATTTCCTCATGTTAGTGATAAGAAAAATTAGCTTGTTTATAAACATACATTTTAGACAAACATTTCTTTTGAAAAGGGTCCCCCAGATGGCTGTAGACATATATCCCTGGCAGAGACACTGGAAAGGATCCTTTACCGGTGGGAATTCTATCTGAGCGTTTCTATGGTGCTCTGGTGTCCAGGGAATAGGGGTGGATGGGAATGGCTGAATGGGAATGGCTGAAAGTGTTCTAGTATGATATTTCTTGGCTAGTGAGGACAGGCATTTTGTTTGTCTCATGTTTGCTGTTGGGAAAGTTAACCTTGTAAGCAGTCTTGCTATTTTGTTTCTCTTTAATACCCATTACCTAAATTAGTAATAAAATTGACAGCTAGTTTATCAAGTCCTTTCTTGCTATGCTAGCCTTTCATATAGGGGACAAAAGCCAGTCTGATACTGCCTCGGAAACTCAAGGAGGGGTCACTATGAGTCGGATCTGACTCAGGGGCAGATGACAACAATAACAACAGTATTGTAAAAGACATACTGGAATTATTGGTACAGTTGGTCATCTTCCTGCATTTTCTCATTTCTCAAATCCCACCTTTTTAGTTTCTAAAAGCAATTCATGCATCAAACTGTAAGAGCTAGAACTCTAACCTCCTCCTTTCACAGACAGTATAGGAAGGCTTCTAAGCATCTCAAAGCTTTTCAGAGGTTGTATACTCATGATGGGGAGGAACTGCAATCAGGATCCAGATCATATTCCCCAGTCCAGTGTTCTTTCCATTGTATGATGTGGCTATCTTTTCTTATTCCAAAAACCTTTCAAGGGTTAAGATTTAACCCCCTGCTCCTAGTATTGTTGGATTTAAAGAACAAATCCCTGATCTTGCTATTTGTGGTTGTTTAATATAATGGATTTGACTTGAACTCTGCATTTTATCTGTTTTTGTTTCAGATTATTACTGCATATTTTAATGATTTTTACTCTGTGCCCTTTGATTAACTATTTCTATTGGTGGTGTGTCAGGAATCTCCCAAAGAATAAGTACAGAGTTTATAATTTGGTCTTACTTTCTCTTCCTTATCATCAACCACGTTGAACATTTATTATTTTTTTTAAGTTCCCATGTTCCCTAGAGAGCTACAGTCTCATCTGATGGAAATGACTTGAAAAGTCCCCTGACAATAAGCCCAATGTTTCTATCTAGCTAACTATTTTGCTAAAGAACTACAGATAGGAGATGATTACCTATAAAAAGACAGAGGCATTCCTTTGTGGATCTCTGCTGATTGGTTGCTTATGGTGGACTGCACCTTACAAAATGTCTTGAATATAGCATGTGGCCAATAAATACTTATTGAGTGATTGAGAGGGGTCTGCCCAGATCCCCAAAAAATATCCTTGAATCTAGATATTCAATCTGAAATACCAGAGGTATTTGGCTTGACTGAGAGAGGCAAAACTACATTTCTTTTGTATCTGTTGTTAAAGTTCACCATAATGTATGTTATGTACTGTTACGGGTTGAATTGTGTCACCCGAAAATACATGTTGTAAATCCTAATGTCTATTGCTGTGGTTATAATCTCATTTGGGAATATGTTGTCTTTGTAATGTTAATGAGACAGGCTTAGTATAGAATGTGACTAATCAATCTTTGTTTAAAATTTTTTATTGTGATTTGGGTGAAAGTTTACAGAGCAAATTCATTTTCCATACAGCAGTTTATACACATTTTGTTTCATGACATTGACTGCAGTTCCCCACAGTGTAACAGCTCTCTTCCCACTTCCTCCCTGTAGTTACTTCTTCCCTGTAGCCTTCCCTCTCATGCATTCCAGCCCTGGTGTCTCCCTGTGCCAACACTGCCCTTCTGTTCTCCCACGATCTGTCACTCCAAGGAGTGTATCTACTGGATGTAAATGTTCACCCCATATGCCTGTCTGTTGTTTGGCTAGAAGCCAGAGGAGTGAGTTCAGTTCCAGACCTGAAGGGTAACTAGGGGCCATAGTCTCAGGGATCTATCAGACCAGCAAACTTGGTCTTTTTTTTTTTTTTAAATAATTTTGAGTTTAGTTCCACATTGTTTTCCCATTGAGTTGGTCTCTTTTGAGATATAAAAGAGATTAAAGGCAAGCTAGCAAGTGGAGATAGGGAAAGAGAGATGCCAAGATATATGGAGATCTCCAGGGGACCAGGAAAGAAGCTGAGAGACAAAGATCTTGCCTCAGAGCCAATGGAGGGAGAAAGCCTTCCCCTAGATTGGGCACCCTGAATTTGGAGTTTTAACCTCCTTAACTGTGAGAAAATAAATTTCTTTTTGTTACCGCCATCTACTTGTACTTCTGTTACAGTAGCTCTAAGATAACAAAATTTGGTACCAGAAGAGTGGGATGTTGCGCTAACAGATACCTACAATGTGGTAACGATTTTAGAATTGAATAATGGATAAAGGCTGGAAGAGTTTAAAGGTACCTAATAGTAGAAACTTGGGAGCTCTGGAGGTGTAATGCCTAAGGCATCTGACTGCTAACCAGAAGGCTGGTGGTTCAAACCCACCAGCCACTCCTCAGAAGAAGACTGGGCAGTCTACTTCAATAGAGATACTGTCTGGGAAACCCAAGGAGGGATTGCTATGAATCAAATTGACTCGACGGAATTGAGTTTGGTTTAACTTTTTTTAATAGTAGAAGCTTAGAGTGCCTTGAAGGAGCTCTGATGGCTTAGTGCCTAAGCAATCTGTTAACCAGAAGGCTGGTGGTTTAAACCCACCAGCCACTCCTTGGAAGGAAGGTTGGGCAATCTACTTTCCATAGTGATACCACCTCGGAAACCCCAGGAGGGGTTGCTATGAACCAGATCTGACTTGACGGCAATGTGTTTTTGTATTGGAGTGCCTTGACGAGACTATTGGTAGAATTACATCAAAGGCAATTCTGATGAGAGTTCAGAAGGAAGTGAAGAGAGCTATAGAGAAAGTCTGTCATCTTAGAGATTGCATATGATGCCAGCAATAGATTGTTGCTAGAAATGTGGATGTTAAATGTGCTTCTGGTAAGGCTTTAAAAGAAAATGAACAACATGTGATTGGACAATGGAGGAAGGGTGATGCTTTTTATGCAGTGGTAAAGAACTTGTTGAATTATGTTCAGACATTTGTTGGAGGATAGAACTT